AGTATGTGGCGCAGCAACGATCTGCGAAATAAAAGTTAAATATTATATAATTACTAATTATTAATCTAATTTTGTTATATAAATAAATTTATTTATAATTTAAATATTTAATAATTTTATTATATTATTAAACTTTATTAAATAAAAGTTTTCTTACTATATAATATTTCAATATCAATAATATTTTAGTTATTATTTATATAAATTTATAAAAAATCTTATTTAAAATACAAATTTAAATATGAATTTTTATATTATAAATTTTGAATATAAAACTTTTTATTATTATAATAGAACTTTTAATTAGCAATAAATTTAATTTTAATTTTAATTTAATAAAATACTTAGTTTAAATTAAAATTATAAAAAATTATATTAAGTTAATAAGTTTTTATTTATTAATAAAAATAATAAAATAATTAAAAAATTTTATCATTTAATAAATAAATAAGTATTATATAATAATAATATTTTTAAATATAAAAATTAGTAAATAACTTATTTAAAAGAAGAAATAATAAAAATTATAATTAATTCAGATAATTATTCTATAATAAAGTATTATATAATATAAAATATTAAGTAAATCAAATAATATTCTTATTATAATAAATTTTAATTATAATAAATAGACTTAAAATTTTATTAATAAATTAATTATAAAATTTAAAAAATATTATATTGAATATTATTTCAAAAATTAAAAATTAAATTTAATTAATTTAAATAAGTTTTTAAAATAATTACTAGTATTTTAACTTTTAAAAATATAAATTTAATATAAAAAATAAAATATATTTAACATTAAATAATTAAATTTTTATAAAATAAATTAGATAATTATTATTATTTTTATTTTATTAAGATTTTACTATATTTAGAAATTTTACTTAGTTAAAATTTATTATATTTATTTTTTTTAAAACTAAATAAATTAAATAAAACTTATATTATAAAATAAAATTATATATCTGACTTAGTTTTAATAAAAATTAATATTCAAATTTTTAATTATATTTATATTTTGTTTAAAATAATAATATTAAGATACTTTTATTATAATATAAATATTTAAATATATTTGATTTATTTAAAAAATATATAATTAAGTTAACTTTACTTAAATAAATAATTCTTATTAAAAATTTTATTCAAATTATTATTTTGAAAATATAATAATTTTTTATTTTTTATTTCTTTCTTATTTTTTTTGAAAATTTTAAAGAATTTATAAAATATTTTGATTCTTAATATAATATTAAGCTTTTAAATTATCTATTTTTCTTTTTATATATATTAGATTTACTTAATATTATAATAAAAATATATTTATAAAAATAATATTTTACTTAGAGTTTTTATATATTTAAAAATTAACTTTGAAAATTTTTTTGCAATATTATTTGAAAGATTAATTTCTTTAATTGATATTTTTATTTTTAAAATACTTATCAAGTTTTCAATTACTTATCTTTAGTTAAAATCAAAATTACAATCAGTTTAAATAGATATTTTCTTTATTATTATAATAATAGTTATAAAATCTTTTTTAATTATCATTTTCAAGTAAAAAATTATGCAAAAAAGAGTATTTTATATATAAGAATATAAGAATTTAATAATATAATTATTCAGAAATTGAAAATTTTTAATTATTACTTTTTAAAATAATATCAGAATATAGAATCAATTTTTCAATTATATAATTTTTTCAATCTAAGCTATATAAGTCTAATTGATATTTTATTTATATAATTAATTAAAATTAGCTGATTAATTTCAATTCAAATAAGTTAGATTTAGATTTAATATTCAAAGCTTTAATCTAAATTAGATTCAATTTTTGAAATATTAAAAATTTAATTTAAAATATAATAACTGAATTTTAATAAATATAATAACTAAAAATTAAGAAATTCTTGATTCTTGTTGTTAACTATACAACAGATAAGATTCATGAACTACTGAAGTCTAATATAATTCTAACAGTCAAAATCTGCTATATTTTGTTATGGATAATTCTGATCTCGTAATATTATTCAATAGGTTTATTGTCAAGTTGATCTTTCATTTTCAATAATGATTTAATATTTTACTAAATTCATTTTTTCAAGCTGAGTTATATATCAATATATATAACATTATATTTGGCATGCAAGATAATAAAGTGAGTGGCCGTCTGAGAGATGAATTTTCTTTTTTTGATTTGCTCTTCATTATTTTTATTTCTCAGAAAATATGCTTTCATCTCATTATATCTTATCGATTCAAACACAGCATTTCTTTTGTTTGACTCTTCAAGTTCAACTCTAAACTGGACTTCTTGCATTCCAGAAACTTCAGTGAGTTGAAGAAATACTATCTGCGTAATTATGTCATTGGAATGATTGTTCAGAGTTATTATATAGCATAATTCCAATATTTCTTGCATATCTCATATTGATATTCTCTCTTTTCACTTTAATCTCCTCTTTTGCAAGAGATGATCAGGACATTAATTGGAACACAGTTCCAACTGATGCTTTGAGAACTATAAATAGATTGATTAGAATGGTAATTTGAGACGTTATGAAAATAACTTGTTTTTAGATATCATAGATCAAATCCAGCATCATTCACATAAGTTTGTTTGGACAACCTCTGTCAGCATAAACTTTAATCAGGTAATTTACATTCTGTCTTTCATCTATTTCTTTTAATTATTCTTTATACATCTTTAATATTTTGAGCCACCTCCATTCTATCAGTTTCCAATCGGCCTTTGATGTTTATGCTTGAATATTGATTAAATCTGAAGTGAATCCTTTTATTATTATATCTTTGCTCTGCAAGCTCTGAAAATAATCTATAGTCATTATATTATTGTTAATCACATGAAATCGGATAACCTGAGCAAAGACTTATATTTATGTGTTTCAAACAAGGCAGATAGCCATAAAAATTTCAGCAGTTGTTGCTTCCTCAGACTCTTCGTAACCGACGAATTGTACTTCTTCAAGTTCATAATCGGAGATGAACCTGGACAGAACACTCTCAGTATATCAAAAGTAGGCTTTCGGTTTCACGTAATCTTCTATGCAGTCTTCGCAACATATTCTTTTCTCATTATCTATTTAATTATCACGTGAGTGTTCTGCTTGTCTATGTAATGATTACAACTGAAACATTATATCACCCACTCTTTCAACTAAATATATTCTATCACCGTTTGGAACTTGGTTTTGATGAGCGAAATTTTGTCAATATTCTAACTTCATTCACCAATCCCTTAGAGATTCTTGAGCGAGTATTTCAGAAATATTTCAGGAACCCAAAAGTCTTTGCGTTTATTCAAATAGGTAACCTAATAACACTTCAATAGCTGTTCCTTGTACTTGCTATATTTCGTCGACACCAACATTCTGACTGAGCCCTTCAGTCAAAACTTTGCTTCGAATTATGAAAGTGTAAAGTACATGTAATAGATAATGAAAATTTTTACGCTGATCCGGGAAATGTAAATCATAATACATATAGTACAACCAATAACAAGTTTGTCCAATTTATTAACTGGAGAGTTCATAAATGCGACATATTCGACCAACTAAAATGTTGTTGTATTGTGTAATGACGAAAGGGTCATACACAGAAGAATTCATTTTTCATTATAATTATTCTGAGGCGTACAAGTGGTAGAGAGCTATTAGTCCATTTTTGCTTGGTTATGGTTACCCAGCCAGCTCGCTCTAGTACAACAAAGTCTTCGATAAAACATATCAATTTCGCAGATTATATCCATAGATTCATCCTTAAACCACAGATTTTCAGCACAGCGCTTTCCATACAACGCGAAACACACACACAAATACTATCTCTAAACAACGCGAAAAACGCACACAAAATCTGACAGGACCTGTCCTGCGCACAGCATAACCCGCAACGTGAAATCGCAAAATTAAATTACAAAAAACTCGTGTTCGCCCAACAATCTCGTGACCAGATATTATTCTGGGAACATCGAAACGCGAAAATGGATTACAAGCCGACTGCGCATAAAAAAAATATTCCGAAAAAGAAACATTCTAGATAGTCGATGTGAGCGTGGGAAAATAAATTATATAGCCGTAATAGCGTAGCGGTAAATTGTAAACAAATCTTTTTCAAGGAATAGGGACCAAGCAATTTCCTCCCTTGCAATGTCTTCATATTTTGCTTAGTTCGAACCTGAAAATAAATACAAATTGTGTGATATTTTTTATTCAAAAAACATGGATATTATTATTGAAACATTTAAGAACTCTGCTCTCTCTTCACTGGAAAAAACAGCTATATTCTCCTACTTCATTAGTAATACTACTTCAATAACTGTGGCAAGTGAAATCCTTCGTGCATTCGGAACCGAGAATGAGACATGTCAATACTTGAAATCGCTAATTCCTACGCCTGGTATATTCTCGTACAAGAATTTAATCCAATCTGCGCTGAGACATGTACTTTGATATTCATCTGCACCGTATCATATTTATTAATAATATCGAATACTTTGATCTTGTGCTTATCATCAACACCGTCCAAAAATCATATTGACGTTATTGTAAACCACGCGTTGTCACCGGTAAGTTAATCATAATAAAAAAAGTCACCATTGTGTCATATTGCTAAGAATAATATCAAATATATAATATTATGTTTTTCTTTCCTGCTTCTTATCATCAACACCGAATTCATGTTATCGACTACGCTATTATATTTGCTAAATGATATCGAATACTTAATCTTGTAGCAGGCACTTCAAGATAATTTAACAATCTTGTATCCATTTATTGATAATTCGAACCTCCTTATTGAGGGAAAATATATTGTAGGTCGTCTTGAGAATGCAGGTGTTTATTAACAAAGAAAAAGATACTTCGATGAGATTATGGATATCTTATATCAACGATCTTAAATGAAGGCAATCCAACAATAATTGGCTCTCGTCCACCCGACGAAGATACGCTGTGGAATTCCGTTCGAGATCTAAGCTTTGACGTCACCATCTATGATCGAGGTTTTTTAACCGAAAAAAAAAAGAGTAAATACTCTCGTAATTGCTGGAATGAATACCATCTGGTCTAAGGATCCCGGTACGTTTATTATAGTAGCAGACGATGGAGATTATGAACCTGTAGTAAGGGAGGCTCTGAACCTAGAATGGAAGGTTGAAACTTGGTTCTGGCCAAAAGATATGAAAATATTGATAGCTGAAGTCATATGAGATGTCTAAGTGAAATCTAAATTCTATAGGGATATCTGGTGACCTTAGGCCAACAGAAAATGAAAAAGGTTTATTATGCTCTGGATAATTATTATCGCCGTTTTACATTTGCATATGCATCTAGACTCGAGGGAGAAGAAGTTATTAGTTTGATACAAAACCACATTTGAAGGTGGCAAAACAATGGATCAGGGCTGAGTATCGGGACATAGTAAAGGCTTTGGAAATAGATCGTGTGATATAGATTAACCAATCAGAAATTTAGATGTATATAATTAAAAAAATTTTCGTTAAAGATTTTAATGATAGGATAGATCCGATTTCTTTAAAAATTAACGAGAAGATAGCCGATGTAACATTAACGAGAAAATCATTTACAGACAGAAGAGTATATTTAATAAAATGATTACAATAACAATATACATAAAACGTTATTAAGGTAAATACAATATGGTATAATTAGAATTACAAATACGTATAATAATTAAATTTTCACTTTAGGTTTAAGAAAGACTTTCATTTCCTTGCAAGAATTACCAAGTTTATACTCAGTTTTTATAGGTTCATTTGGTTTCACCAATTCAACATCATACTTTCCAAACAGCATTACCGTCAATATCTTAAGTGTCGCCATAGCGATATGTTTACCCGGACACACTCTTACGCCACCACCGAATGACATATAACTATGTTTTTCAATAGTCTTCAAAAAACGCTCAGGATTAAATTCTTCAGGTTCTTTCCAGGTTGCTTTGTTCTTATGTATTCCACTAACGTACACAAATACCAATGTGCCGGCTTTAAATTTATATCCTGCAATCTCATCGTCATATCTCATTTCTTTAAAAAACAATCCGGATACATTTGAAACTCTTTGCGTTTCTTTAATTACTGCTTCAGTATATTCGAGTTTATTGAGCATCTCGTAAGTGAATTGCGAAGGATCATCGCCAATAATTTGATTGATTTCTTGAAGCAATCTTGCTTTTACCGTTGGGTTTCGGCAAATGTGGTAAATCACGTAAGAGAATGTTTGTGCAGGCTGCATACGTAAAATTTTCTTTAATTAATTTAAATCACATTTATTTAGATGAAATAGTTAATTTAAAACTTACCGTTTGAGTTCCGCCAATTATGACTTCAAGAAGATTGGACCTTATTTCGCTAGTCGTTAAAGGTCTCAATTCATTTATGTTTTCGGCTTTATTATAATCTTTATCACGTATTGTATTACATATTAATAATTTGGTCATAATATCATTTTGTAATGGTGCATCGATTGCTTGTTTATCAATTTCTTGTCGTCGTTCTTCAATTAATTCGGTGACTTTATCATCATACGCTTTTATATCACTAAAATACTTTTTCGTGTACTGACGGAATCCAGGAAAATAATGTCTTACTACACGTGGAAAAAAATAAAAGTATTGGATTATCCATAACCATATCTTCGTTTTGTCGATGAAATTTTCTGCTTCTTTCACAGAAATTCCTTTAAAATCAAGCTGTTTATCTTTTGGAGCAATTGAATTATAGTACATTGCTAAAGCGTGAAATCCTTTCCCGGTTATAGTTTTTAATGTAAGGTCAGTGGTGAGACGCGTCATCCATTCTAAGAGATCAAGTTCTGCGCCAGAACCAAGTTTACTCCAGTAACTTTCTGCTTCTAAGAATAAATCTCTATTTTCGATGACAAAATCATGTATGTAACTTGGCGAAGATATTGCTTGAGTTAAAATTTTTCTATTGAAACGCCATGAATTAACATCAAGGTTGAAAGAAATTCCACGATCATGTAAACCTAATTCGATTAGTCCTTCATTTCGAGAACCCTAATATAAATTAAATCGTAATCGGAATCGGAATGACATGGTAAACAAAAGAATACAGAGCAGTATTATAAGAAAATTAAAGATATCAACATACTCTATTAAAAAAACTAGTATCTTTGGAATTATTATTCATTTTTTCAAGGAGATCTGCACGGCAAAGATAAATGTTTCGTTCTGATCCTGAATATATTTCAAACATATCACCATATTTCGCTTGCATTCGCATTAGAAACTTTTCTGGATTAAGGCCCATCTGATGAAGGTTGCCGAATAGTGGGATTGGAAGTGGTCCTGGCAACGGTGATAGACGAGTAAAGTAACGATAGTAATATTTAGCAACATAAATACCAATTATGATAAAAATAATTGTCAACCAGTCTGAATAAGCAAGTAATATTGCCATTATTTTTAACAATTCAAAAATAATAATATTTAAGAGATGAATTTATTGTCTTCTGCCTTTTTCGCGACGTCTTGTCTTAGTGTATATATACAATATTTTATCAATGTGCTCTATTTACTTTCCTTACAAATTTTTATATACGTCCCTAACAAAATATTTGTGTAATGTACATGTACACGAAACCATTATGCGTATCGGTATGCAGTCGATTTTTGGGTTTATCGTTACGGACAAGAATTCTTTTCTAAGCTGATAGATGTACATGTATTTTTTAAGTTCGTAATTCATCTTGGTTAAGGTTTAATCTTTTAGGGTTGGGTGTAATGAGTCGTTAGTATATAATCACGTGTTTCAAAGGTTTTACCTGGGATCTCTATAAAAATATGTAAAAAATATCACGTAATATCTGTCACATCCCTTAGATCGTTACTATTAATAGACTATGAATTTAAGGTTAACAATTGCGTTTTTTTCAGGCTTAGCCATATACATCTACATGTAATACATATTTGAAAAAATTTTAATAAATAAAGTTTAGGAAATATTTTACGCTTTGTTCTTGAATTATTGTTTACTTAGAAATAAGATTTTTTCGGAACCTTATGCATTTAGTTAAACGTGCACGAAAAAAGTCTCGGGTGCGTAACATAACGGAATACGCCAAAAAGTTCGTTTTATTCTTCATCAATTATCTTGACCTTATCCTACATATTTATAATTTTTCGTTCATTTATTTTATTACTTTTAGATGAATTAAAAAAATTCATGTTTTTTTTAATACATTTTAGATTGACAAAATTGATTATATAGTGTGCTTAAATATAGAGCACTTGAAAGATAAAATTCTGCAACGCAATAGAACTCCAAAAATGCGTGACAAATCAAATCCATTATTCCTTATTTATAATTTGAAAATAAATTTTACATTATTTAACGATTACTTGCAAGCTTATTAAAAAACTAATTATAAAATCTTAATATTTCTCATTATTACCATTTCTTTGCATTCTTATATCTTCTATGCATGCTAGCATACTTTTATAAAAACTCGATATTTATATTAGTTTACAACTTTGATTTTATCTTGTTCTATGAAATTGTATACACTGGCACCTAATAACATTATTTTAGAACGTTCCATATCCCGTTGAAATATAATATTTTCTTTCAATTCAAGACATATTTTAATATTATGTGGTATAATTCTTGATCATGTCGTCAAAATATGTATATTCTATCGCATATTTGATTGTATATTTAGATGATTTTTCTTTTGTTTCAATACGTAGTATACATATAAACATAATTTTGAATTTGTTCGACCAACCTTTTTTTAGTAAATTTAAACACTAATTAAAAAGCTTTGTTTTGAGATAAGATTATTAATTTTTATAATAACTCATTGCAATGTATGATTAATGCTTTTAATTTTTTCGAATGAAAGCTGCAGATTTCAAAAAAGTGATAGTATCTTTATAGCTAAGAGAATGACCAGTTATAGTTAAGTAAAAGCTTGAAATAATTTTTTTGTTTTATTTAGAGTAACGTTTCAAAATTGGTTAAGCTCAGCTCTAATTGAGCTTGAACCCAAATCAAGTAGAAATTATATTTTAAATTTATATTTTATATCAAAATTTATATACAGTAGCGGTCAAAAGTATCTGACCCCCTGTAACTTTTAAATTGAAGATTAATTGTCTTGAAATTTTCAGCATAGCTAATATAATATAAATCTAGATCCTATGAGTTTTTTAATATTTTATAATTGTTATAACAAAATTTAAATGAGAGCTGAATTTTAAAATCAATTTTTTACATTCATAAAAAAATATCAATCAAATACAAGCATTTTTATATTAGTAACAAAAAATTTGACATAATTTAATAAGAAAGATATTGAGAAAATAAAATTTAAATTTATTAAATTTATTATATATGGG